GATCCAAAGCTAGAAACACAGTCCCCTTACACACAGATGTTTTCTTTTCTTGTGCGGAAGACTAAGTTTAAGGGAATCTGTCAACACGGTTCAGTGGATCGTGCTCTGGACAGGCCAGAGGTAGTTCATCTAGTGCAGGATAATCTGAGAAAACCCAGCAGGTTGGAGAAGCAGGACCTCATGAGACTTTCCATGCTGCTCTTACAGTACTGTCATACATCTCCAGACTTTTGCTTATTTTGACTCTGAATTTCTACCTGATGCCCAAGACGCCTGTCTTGATGGCTCACTGTCTTTATGTGTTCATTCCTGAGGTGTTTTTCCTAATTTGCCTAACTTCTTTGGGGAAGGCAGAAGGCACAAAAAGCCTTACTTTGGAGTTGCCTTTCGAGGACAGGTAACTCCCGTGATAATTTGCAAGCAGCAACAATTGGGAAGTCTCCATGGGGTCCAGAGAATCCATCACTCAGCCTGAGCTTCATGAAGAGGGTAGTGATGCAACCATGACTGCCAGGACAGGTTGGACACTACATGTAGTGTTTAAGTGATGGGAAACTGAGTAGGACCAAGACACTAGTTACAGACTCTGCTGGCCAGAGCAGATGTTGGGCACAGATCCACACTCTGGGACCTGGCCAGGTGAACCACCACGAGAGTGACTGGCAACTGTCAGAGATGTGGGAAAGCCTGGATTCCCTTGGAACCTGACCTGGAGTTGGTTTGCAGCTAGTAAGAGACAGGGAACCAGATAGCAACATCATTCACAGTTCAGCCAGAAATTTAGCATTCTCAAGACTCATCTAAAACTGAAAAGTGCCTCCAAAGGAATTGTTTGTTGCTTTGTTTGCAAAAAGTGCAAACAGCACATCAGAGAAGCAAAAATACCTTGGTGGATTGCTTGGCTGAACACTTAGGCAGGGTGTATTGTAATGAGCCATATGCTAGCTTTGCATAGTACTACAGGGTAAGCCAGCTGCAGCATGCAGCTGATTAGTCTGGTTGGAAAAAAAAATCTTCATTTTCCATAATAGGAAGCTAGAAAAGGCAGCCACTCTGGAAGGTACCAAAAAAACCCAAGTCTCTGTTCCTGTTTGCTGGTGTAGAACAGGCCAAGCAGGAGAGCAAGAGAATCTCTGCTTTATCCTAAAGGAAGAATCCTCCTTTAACTCTAGACTTGTTTAATAGTAACTGTTTTGCTTGCTTTTTTAACTTGTTTAAAAAATTATATTCCTATTATATTCTCATGGTAGATTTTGCCTCCACTCTTCTCTGTACCTGTAGGGAAAAGAAGCAGAAAGCCCTTGACCAGGACTATTTCAAGAACTTCTCATTGCCTCAGTTAGAACTTAGTCATTCAATTCAGCATTTGGCAGAGCTGAAGCCTGTTGTGGGTTAAGGAGATGGAGGTCAGGAGGTGTTGGGAACCTGAAGAAGACATAAACACAAAAGTGCTGTGCAGGATAGGAGCAAAAGTTCTTCTTGCCCAGCATCTCATCTTCTGCAGTTGATCAAAAGCTGATGCCTAGGCAAGAGTATAGCAAGTATTTCCTCCAAATATGAGCTGTCAGTGATTGTGTTTTAGGGACTTTCTGGAGTCAGAGGTGGTTCCTTTGATAGACCTCAGTGACTTCCCTGCTGTGCACTTCTCCCGTCTCTTCTCTTGGGTTCTCCTAGCGTGCACAGTCATCTGAGCTAAACAGTATCACAACTTGCTTATTCCTGGGTAACCAAGCTGAAACTTCTGTATCAACAGCAGATCTGAGTTAGAGCTCCTCAGTTGTGCCAAGCGCTGAATTAGTCCTCTGTGGGGTCACTTTTTGAATGGGTAGGATATCCCCAGCTAGACTATGGCAGCGTCAATAGTTCTTTCAAGATCTTTTTTTTTTTTCCAAGCTATAACTGGTTGTGTTTCCAAGGCAAAGTTATCAACCGTGTCAGAAACTACTGTAGATGAATACAAAAAAAAAAAGTAGGAAACACAGTTGTAATGGACTGGAATGGGTTTCAAGCTTTTTTTTTTTTTTTTTTTTTTTTTAAGAGAAAATTTTAACTCAGGGTAATTCCTTTGCATTTACATAGATCTATGTTCTAAACACTTTGGGCAGTCAATATATACAGAGAGAAAGGGGCTGAACATACATGAAAATTACTTCAGAAAGGTTGTAAAAGAAGCCATAAGGTTCTCTCTGTGGTGCTTACATGAGTTACAAGTAAGGATTTGTGGTGCTCCCATGTGTTTGACATGTAAACATGTAAAGTGCAGCAAAACCACAAAGCAGTAGTAATAGAGAGAGGTTGGGAGAGATGTGGGAAGGTCTAGGAGATACAGTATTTATGGCTGAGTGAGAAGCCAGACTCATTGATTAAAAGAAAAAATCCCCACAGACAGGATTGTTAAGACTGTTCTTGTTTGACGGGGTTATTAATGTGGAGGAGGAGGGACCAAGCGAACTATACAGACAGTAACACTCTGGGAAGATCAGAGGACTCCACTGAGGAGGGATCATTGGCCAAATTGAGTGCAGCCCTATCATTATGTCAGTGGTGAAACTTCTGAAAATTGCATTCAAACCAATCCAAAACAGCAGTGCAGAGACCTTTCAGTGTTGGTGAAAACTGGGAAGATGAAAAAGGCTGTTTTCTTCCAAGTTCACCAGATGGTCTTTGCACAATGTGATTTGAGGTAATCTGAATGTGTGGGGTCTCGGGTGGTGGTCAATGGGTATTTTACTTCACCCCAGATAGTTCTTCCTCTTCTCTGTACATTCCAGCAGGGTTCCTTGCTTTGTACCTCTGGTCAGTGTCGCATTTTTGCATCCACTCCTGCCAACTCCCATCCTTCAGACTTTTCCCATCCATCACTCAGGTCAGAAAACAGCCAGCTTTAGTGCAAAACCTGAAAAGCCATACCCCTGCTCAAATCAAGCATTTCGGGAGGTGTGACCAAAATCAGTAGAATTTAGAGTAGAGCAGATATATGAGGACCACACAACCTTTGACAACCCAAACTGAGACACTGTGGTGCCATGCATGAGTTTAAACACTCTCATGACTGCATTTTTTTTAGCTTCCAAATGGCTATATGGTTTCCTTGTTCCTAAACAAGAGAAAGGAGAGGAGAAGCACCTGGAGGCTGAAAGGAGCATAGAGATTTTGGAGGCAAACACTGTGTGCCTCACAACATCCCTCCGCCTCCTGATTTGTGGTGGGTAAAACATAGTCCTTCCCCCAAGTCTGCTCAAATTTACTTTCAGATAGAGATGGGATTGAGAGTACGTGGCAACCGCTTTCCCTGGTGCTGAATTAAAGCTGCAATTGCAGTATGGTGCAGCTGAATTGACCGGGAGGGTAGAAAAGGCACAAGGGGAGAATCAATGAAAGTGTCCTGAGCACCAGAACAGCCCTCTCTGCATCTTAACCGAGTAATAAAATGAGACAAGTGGGGCTGGATGAACATCCAAAAGGTCCTGACATTTCAGAAATCCTTTGCTGTTTTGCCTTTAATCAATCTTTACTAAGCCTCAAATATGAAAAGAAGTACTTAGGGCAAAGGTGAATTTCCCATTAAGAGTAAATTGCTTTGATGCTTGTCAGTTTGTTGAGATTTTTATAGCATGGAAATGATATTATTTCCCAGGCTTCTGGCATGGTCCTAAAAGGTCACGTCTCACAATACAGCTCTCTTCATTTTTCCCCCAGCAGCAGTTGTTTGCTAAAAAAAAAAAAAAATTCACATTGTTGGTTTTATCGCAAAGATGGAATGAAAGCGGACTGTGAAAGTTCACGGCTCCTCTATGTGAATACTGGTTTTTGAGCACCGCATAGCCAGCCATGGATGCGTTTACCTACCCACTAAGTAGATATCACACACCTTGGTCTTGCAGCCCAGCCCAGGCTCTCCAAAAGCAGATGCTTTGCATAAAACACATAATATTACAGTTAGTATAGTATTACAGTTCTGTGAAGACAAGAACGGAGTTGAACAAGTTGAAATAGAGAGAGGTCTGTCCTCAGCAGGAACTGGATCATGAACATGATTCTGGTAGGACCAGAACTTAACTGTAGCATCACCTATGCAGTAATCCCCTTCCAAACATTTTTTCTTTCCATAACTTTAGTGTCACCTATGCAGTAATCCCCTTCCAAACATGTTTTCTTTCCGTAACTTCAGTGTCACCTATGCAGTAATCCCCTTCCAAACATGTTTTCTTTCCATAACTTCAGTGTCACCTATGCAGTAATCTCCTTCCAAAGATGTTTTCCACCCAACAGCAGGCATGCTATGGAGTATGCTAACAAACACCCCACTGCTGAACCCCACTCCTAAACCTCAGCGTTTAGGAGCCTCGTCCCATTTACAGAACTCCAGCAGCAGGTCCTGCGCTCACGGCTCCTCAGGCGCGGGGCTAACACTGCTCCAGGAGGGTGCAAACCCGCTCAAACGCCGCAGCTCGGCTGCACCCTCGTGAAGAAACTGCGTGAAGCGGTGCAGTGGGGACGCTGCAGCGCCTGGAGCCGCCTGCTCGGAGCAGCCCTCTGGCAACAGCCCTCCCGAGAGCTGTGGTGGGCGGGAATGCCCCTTCCCCTCTCTCCTTTCCCGCTAAACCGGCACCGCACCCGCGGCACCCCGCACCCAACGGCCCCGTCCCGCCCCGCGCGCCGCCTCCCTCAGGCGCCCGCCCGCTTCCCGCCCTCCCACTCGCGGCAGCCAATAGCGGCCGGGCGAGCGCGCGAGCCTCCCGCCCCGCCCCGCCCCGCGCGCCTGCGCCAACGCTCCCAACGGCGCTCGGCGGCCGTTACGTTGCTGCGGCGGCCGCCGTGGCGGCCGTTGCGGGTGGTGGCTGCGCGTGCGTCCCCGTCTGCGGCCGTCGCCCCGCCGCGCTCTTGGGCGCGCGCGTCCCGCCCTTTCCTCCTCCTCGACGAGGGCCCGGACGTTGCTCTGCGCTCCGAGCCGGGTCGGGTGGCGCCGGGGATGCGCCGCGCGGCGGGCGGGCGGCGGGATGGAGGTGGAGGAGGCGTTCCCGCTGGTGGGGCAGATGGGGCCCTACCAGGTGTACCTGTGCATCCTGCTCGCCGTGCTGCTCCAGGTGAGACGCTGCCTCCTGCGCACCCGTGCGGGGGCAGCCGGGAGTAGCGGGTGGATGTGGTGTGTGGTTGGGGGCTGGAGCGTCAGCTGGCTGAATCCCTGAATCCCTGCTCTGGCTTTGACCTGTGACCTTTACTCTGCTCCTAGGGTGAAGATGACCTCCTTTTCTGAGGCAGGGTGGGTGAATTTAAGCGGGGAAGACACTGGGCAAAAGATTGCTACTTCCTTTGCCCCCTTCTCCCAGGAGTGGGGAGATGGTGGGCTGGTTGGAGCAGGAGTGTGGTGGTGTTTCCATGTGGTAGACTGGAAGCTGGCGCTTCTGTTGGACTTTTGGATGTGCGTCCTACCCAGCTGAGCCATAGGGGCCTAGGACAGTGTTGTCTAGGTTGTCCATGGAAATGTTTGGAGAACTTTGGTAGTAACTGGCAGCTCTATGCGCAAGAACTGAATAGCTGATAAGCAGTGACTGCGCCAGTACCCAAATCGTGTTGACTTAGCTCTTAACTTCTCTGTGAGCCTCTGCACCAGGTATTTGGGCAAGGATTTGCTTTTCTTGGGCAATCTGCTCTGTGTTTTTAGGTTGCTGTGAGGCTCAAAACTGGAATATTTGTCAGTTCAGTGATAAAAGTGGAGCCCTGGGTAACAGTAGGGTGCTTTAGTATTCAGAGACTGCGTGACGCAGTCATGTGCTCTGCCACGAGGTCATTCTTCCTGCTCTGCTTCCTTCTTGAGCACATACCCATACGAGAAGAAAGGTTGTGCCAGGAGAGCTTCAGGTTAGGTATTAGGAAAAAATTCTGCATGGAATGAGTGGTGAAGCATTGGAACAGGCTGCCCAGGGAAGCAGGGGAGTCACTGTCCCTGGCAATGATGAGAAGCATGTGGATGAGGCATCTGGGGACATGGTTTAACAGGCCTGGTGGTGATGGGTTTACGGTTGGACTTGATGATCTTCAAGGTCTTTTCCAACCATAATGATTCTGTGAAAGAGAAGTTGAGAACACTGTGTGTATATGTATATCTTCATGGTCTGATCTAGGTGTAAGGTAAAGTTCAAATTTGACAGAAGTCTGGCTTTACTCCATTTTAACCTTAAAAAACCCAACTGTAGTGAACACAACTAGACTGACAAATACAAGATTCCTGTTGCTATGGAAATATACCAGCTGGGATGGAGAGAACTCAGCAGCTGCAGAAAGAGGAGGGGGACTGAAGTGTTCCTCTGACCGGTATCTTGTGTGCAATGAAGAACTTGGTCACAAACTGTGAGGGGCTGAAAGTGCTTTCTCCTGACACCTTGGGCACTGACTCGTGATCAGAAGCCAAATTGTAAGAAACGTGATTGGATGCCCCAAAAGTATGGATCTCCAGTTGTGTCACTTTTGGAATCCTGTGGTTGTTTGTCAACTTTGTTTTGCAACTTTGTACCCTTTCTCACTGATTCTTATATATATAGTTGTAATAGATTAACTTGCCTTTTTGATGGGAGAAGTAAATAGACATATCTTTATAAATACACTTATAACTCCAAATAACAGAAGAAACAAAGAACAGGTGCAGATCTGTCTTTTTGTGCCATTTTTAATCTTTGAACTTTACTGATGATTATCATCCCTTGAATGATATGCTTTGTATGCATCACATCCCTTTAGGCCCTGGAGTTTGCCAAGGATTTAGTTATGAAGCTCCTTGCCATTCAGTGGTTCCTGCTTGGGTGGCTGATTGCTTTCTGCATTCCTTTTATGGTGCCAAGTTACATACTGTGCCACTGGCAGGTGGCAGAGCAAGATTGAAGGCAGGTGCAATGACCAATGTTAGCCTTCTGTCTACTTTTTCATATGTCTTTGGAGGATGGATCCAAAGTGAAGTGATCTTTGGTGTGTATGATGTGGAATTAGCTAATTGTGGTCTCCTGTCCCTTTGCTGGATTAGATGTGGCATCTGGCTGGCAAATACAAACTCCTGTTTCTCTCTGTTGCTGGATCTACCATTTACTGACTAGTCCAATTTATTGCTTGTTCCTTTGCCGCCGCAACCTCCCACATGCTCTCTCAGCTTCCTTGTGTGTTTGCATTGGCCTATTTACACTAAAACATTTCTGTCCTTTAAAGATATGGCTTTTTATAGTTACTTCCTTTATCTGCCAGTGTCTTTCTATTCTTCCATTTAGGTTTCTGCAATCAACTACTACTACTATATAGCCTTGATTTATTCATATGCCAGAATAAAGTCTTTGTGAATAAATATGAACCTACCCTACCTGTGAAGAGATCACAGACCTCTTCTAGGACAAATTGTACCAAGCGTTCCTGTCTGTATGGGTGAAAAAGGCAGCCAGCTTTCACATGGGCTCAAGTGAACTGCTGACAGACCTATGGGATGAGGGTGGTGACCCTGGCAGAAAAAATCAGGGTTGCCTTGTCTACAGGGAAGTTAAAGACTTTGTATGTATCTGTGCTAGAATAAATAGAACACTGTATTTGCATGTTGTCAGTGTAAAATTAACTTAAGTCCAAGTCTTGCAGTCTGCTGTTTTTTCACCTTTGCAAAGTATTTTCACTTCTTGGCTGGTTGTATTGTTTCTGCGTTGCCTGCTGCTGTTACTCATTAACTTGTGGAAACTGTTACTGTGTTATGCTCTGTCTGGTTTATTCAGTATCACCATAATGTGACTTTGGAGGATTTGGGGGAATGTCATGTAGTAGTGGTTGCTAGCTTTTTTTAATGGAGTGATGATTGCTAATGCAGAGAAATATATTTATGAAAAGATACCAATGCGTATCCTAAAATCTACGGAACTATTCAGAGATTAAATTTAGAACTTTATTTTGGAAATGTGGGGTCAGGCTAGTGATCTAAATTTGAGGCTGTAATCCCTTACTTGCAATGTTTGTGTGTATTTTTTCTTTTAAGACGATGAGGGAGGAATAAAGAGGGTGCATAATTTTTAAAATAGCATCTGCTTTACTTGACTAAATTACTAATAAATGCTTGGCAGTTATTGACTACTAGAAAGTATTCAATACCCTTTGAAGAAATAGTATTAGAAACACAGAGTTTTCCTTCCCAGAATGGTGTAACATTTGATGTTTATGTTTAACACATACAAAGCAACATTAAATGAGGTCTCTTATCTTGATATAGATGCTTGAGAATGTACAGCCATATCAAAGAACATTTAGTGGTCTCTTGTAACTTAACATATATAGTTGAAGGTGATTTGCACGGACTTGTGAACCTGATTTTCAGGAGTGCTGGAGTCCAACCTGAACCTATCTCAGAAATCTGAGAATGGAAACATTGCTACTATGTCTTCGTTAAAAGGGTCCTTAAAAGATTCTGGAATTTAAAAGGGAGGTCTTGTACAAGTTTTGAAAAAACCCTTACCTAATGTTAGGTAGAATGTGCATTTTACAGTGCTGTGGATGATTAGCTAGGGTGTCATTTCTCCTCAGTATGGGAAATTATCACTACCTGGCAGGAAGATGGAATAATAATAATTATTATTCCATCCATTCCAGATGATAAAATGAAATTTCTTGAAGAATAGTTCATGTTGACTCAAGACAAAAGCACTCTTCATGCAGCATTACCTAATGAGATACTGCTACCGTCACTTTACTATAGGCAGAATGACCTAGTGTGATTTCTGTCATTAAAATATCCAATGTGGGAAGCTGCTCTTTCATCAACACCTTCATCAACACCTCAGATCTTTTGAGGATAGCAGATACTGGGATATGTGGCCAAGGTAAAGTAGGTTCTACCTGAGCCTTTAGAAATAATGCAAGAGGAATAGTGTCTGCCTCTATGCAGATAGCATGTGGGTGTCATCCCATACACAAGCTTTTAAATTCTTTTCCTTGATGCAGAATTTTGGGTGAGGTATAAAAAGTGTTGGATCCTAAATGACACAAGACATTGCTCTAGCTGTAACAACAGCAACAAAATATCTTGACAGTGAGTCTTTTAGTGATTATATTTGCTTGAGGATGTTGTGCTGTTCTTTGAACTAGGTAAATCATAGACATCATAAAGTAGGACAGCTTATTGCAGGTCCTTGATGAGGTGTAGTAATTATGCTTGTACTTGAGCAGATTTGTTGCTTTGCACTCTCTCTTATGTGATGAATTGTTTAATATGAAGGAAAGAGATTGACATTACATGATTTGCATTATACTTGCTAGCCCAGAGTGCTGGGGTGCCTCTTCACGGATACCCTGTTAACCTAATCCAGATGACTTGCACTGTGATGTAGACTTAGTTCAACTACAGGAATGTGTGGTATTTAAGCCAAATGACAAATACAAAAAAGGCTCCACAGGATTGCTGTGTAACCTTCTTCTACTCTATGATTACCTCATTATTTGTCTCTCATTTTTCTTCATATTTTGTAATAAAGTAAAAATTTAACATTTCCTCCCCGCCCAATGCTTCTTAAAAACAGTTGCACGATGCGTGCTTTAGACATCTGCAGCCACTTATACAGAAAGATGGTTTCATATGTGGCATGAATACAGACATACTGTGGAGTGACAATTTTTATTTCTCCAAATAAGCTGCTTTTCCCATATTACCTTGTGCAATATATTTTATTCAAGGCAAGTTTATACTCAAGAATCCTGTTGCTTTCCTTGTAGTAGAAGTGGTGAAGACCTTTACAACAATTGCAGCTGTGTTTGCATATAACTCCTTGTTCCGGTGTAGCTTCTTGTTTGGAAAGAAAAGTAAGACTAGGTGGATGTATGTATGTTAAATAGAGCATGCAATTATTCATTTACTTAATGCCATTATCTAAGAATTGGTAGAACTTCTAAATCGAAAGCAGTCCTACCATATGCTTAAGGATAGAAAAAAAATCTATAGAAAAAATGCTTACAGTTACAAGAGCCATGTTACCTTTCACTTTATGTGTAAATATTTAGATGCTAATGAAGGCTCCCTGGTGCAAAACTGTTTGTATCTCATATAAAATGGGAATGAAAAGAAGAAAGAAATGTT